GTGTATGTGTGTATGTGTGTATGTGTGTATGTGTAGCGTTGTTATGCAAATGCGATCATAAAATAGTGAATGCTTATGATGTACATGCTAAGATGAGAAAAGGATGGTTTGGCGATGGTCCGGCACAGCCGACGATCATCCATGGGCTGGTTGAAGAAAAGAGAGAGAGAGAGAGAGAGCGCGGGTGGAGAAGCAATAGAAGGGAGGGAAAAAAAAAAGTAAGAAAATGAAAGAAAAAAAAAAGGGAACCCCTGGACCAACAGAAAGTGGATCTCGCACGACTGACATCAACTCGCTCAACTCTCTTTCCTCGCCGTCGCTCTTCCAGCCTGTCTTTTTTTCCCCTTCCCCGTCCAGTTTCTCACATTCACATCTTTCTCTTCTTTATTTATTCGCTTCGTTTGCTTCTTGTTCTTGTAATACTATTTGTCTTGGGGGTTCTATTCAAGTCTTTCCCTATTTAAACCCGTCCGGTCCTTGCTTGTTCAAAATCGACCGCCGAGGTTCTACTCTTGATCCTCGTTTCGCCCATTCCCGCTCCGCTCGGTATCTTATCCCGTCCTCTTCTCTTCCCCTCCCTCGATCTAATCGATAAAAGTGTGAGACCAGCGACTACTCGATCGTCGAGAATAATCAGCAGAATAGTTGGAGTATACAATCATGGCTCGTGTACGGAGAAGGTCGAGTAACCTGGGGGCGGACATTCGGGGAGACACCACCGCTCCCGCCATGTCCACCATGAACGAAGTCAGCCCCATTGAACCCGAGGCTCCTAAATGGGACAAGGTATGGATCTCTCACGACTAGACGTCGACTCTCGCTGGGGTTCTTCATCCCCCCCGCTCACTCCTCCGCCAGGCCTTGCAGAATCAATCCGCCGATAAACTCTCCAAGCCGCATACGAAGCGCCGCAAGAAGTCCCCGCTCCGTCGCTTCAAGGATGTTTGTCTCAAGCATACTTGGCTTTTGCCTCTCCTCATGCTCATCGTTCTTCTGTCGCTATACGCGATCAACCCGACGGAATCCAATCCCATGCATAGCGCCATCTTTTTGTCTTATCCTCTGCCTCCAAAGGTCCCCGGTGGTCCGATCATGTATGGAAAGGGCCCCAAGGATATTACCTTTGTTTCATTCTACACGATTGTTCTGTCGTTTACTCGAGAATTCCTGATGCAGCGCCTTATTCGGCCTTTCGCTGTATACTGCGGGATCCGAGGCCGGGGCAAGACTGCCCGTTTCATGGAGCAGGTGTACACCGCGATCTACTTTGCCATCTTCGGTCCATTCGGTCTGTACGTCATGAGCCGGTCGGATATCTGGTACTTCAACACTACGGCCATGTTCGAAGGGTTCCCCCACCGGGAGCACGAAGGGTTGTTCAAGGCATTCTATCTGCTTGAGGCTAGTTACTGGGCTCAGCAGGCGATTGTCCTGATGTTGCAGTTGGAGAAGCCGCGCAAGGATTTCAAGGAGCTGGTTGGACACCACATCATCACTCTGGCTTTGATCGGATTGAGTTATCGCTTCCACTTCACCTACATGGGTATCGCTGTCTACATCACGCACGACATCTCTGACTTCTTCCTTGCTGTGAGTGATCCGATTCGAAGTCCACACTTTTTCTGTTCTTTGTGCTGATCGAGTTGCCATGCAGACCTCCAAGACCTTGAACTACCTCGACCACATCATCACTGTCCCTTACTTTGGTATGTTCGTGGGCATGTGGATCTACCTTCGTCATTATCTGAACCTTAAGATCCTCTGGGCTGTGTTGACCGAGTTCCGCACGGTCGGACCTTTTGAGCTGAACTGGGAGACTCAACAGTACAAGTGCTGGATCAGTCAGTACATCACTTTTGCCCTGTTGGCCAGTCTGCAAGCCGTGAACCTCTTCTGGCTTTTCCTGATCCTGCGCATCCTGAAGAACTACATTTTCAACAGCATCAAGAAGGACGAGAGAAGCGAAGACGAAGACTCGGAGGAAGAGGAAGTCCCTGTGCCGGACACGGACACCCATGCGACCCTTGCGACCGGCGTCGAGGGAGCCACGGCGACTGCACGTGGCAAGGAGAACCAGACTCCGCAGGTGCTGGTCAACGGCAAGCCCGTCAACTCCAAGAACTGAACACAGTTTCAGGATCAGGACTGACTCCCTTCCTGAGGAGATCTATGTATCTCCAATCCACCATCCACTACCCACGTGGACTGTATGAATTTTTCATGGGGTTTGTTTATATTGTATGAACGGGAACATTTACGACAGCCTTGTTTGGACCTTGTTCAAGACAGAATTTTAACATCTTTTTTCCCCCAACCATTACGGAGTACTATTATTTATTAACATTTTTTGTCCGGTGCTTATGGTCTAATCGGCATCTTATGTATTCATTTCATCTCTTTTTTTCCCTTTGCCTTTCCATATTAGTCATTCATACGAAAGCATCATGCCCCAGGCTGCAGCATGCCAGGAGCGAGACGGGACAGGGTGGATCTTATAAACTTAACGAGTGTTTTTCATCATCAATCCATGATTGACCGGGGTTCCAGGCCCCCAAATCTGTGTCATGGACATAACATAATAATAGACCATTGTGCTGATTCGTCGAGCAAATCAACCAACATACTCTCTATCTTCCGTAACTAGTATATCACAAGCAACCCTACCATCAATGCACCTAGCCCCTGAACCACAGCGCCCCCTCCCAGAATCTTAACTCCTACATAGCACCGTATCATGCAATACATACGGAGTAACTAACTACCTACCCAACTACATACATATCCATACTACACGATCAGTCAAACATACATACGTACATACAAACATACACACACATAGCTAAGCCACTCCAGCCCAGCCCGACACCCTAAAAGAGTCTCGTGCAGCGCACGTCCCCCCTGCGCCTCCACGATGACATCAAACCAGACTAACTAATTACGTAGTTTACTAACTACCTAGTAACTATCTAGACCAACCAGATAACTTAAGTACGTCAGTCACGTCACAGTCCGTGGAGAGAGAGAGACCTTGCATGTTGGAGCTGAGCCTTGTTTCTATTTTCTCCATGGCTTGTGTGTTCTGTATTTAGTGAGATCTGGCTGGGTCATAGGGGGGTTTTTGGTGAAATGTGGTGGGTGGGGAAGAAATTGAGGCTATGATGTGAGGACGTGGTCTGTTGAATATGCAAATTAGAGTGTTTGTCAAACATGAGAGAGGTGATAGATAGGGAATTGGGGAGGGAGGATGGGGACTGTTGCTGATTATGGGATTCAAGGAAGAGAAGAGGAAGGAAGGAGAGGATGAGTAGGAATAGTACTACTAGAAGTAGTAGTAGTATGTGGTATACTGTCCAAGAGTTAATCAAGGCGCTACTTATAGTAGTTACTATACAGGCAATGGATGCTTTTTTTCCCCCTACAAGTACAATAGAAAAATGTAACAATAGCAACTGTGCTTTTGATTTAACCAATGAATATATCCCATGATATTGTATCCAGGTTGATTGATCAATCATTGCCCAGCAATGACTTGCTGATATCCTGGATGTGAAGAGAAGACCTTTGTTAGATTAGCCAATACAGTGCAGTGATGATATGGTATGGTATGGTATCGAATGCTCTATTCATAAATCGAGGTAGTATGTTCCCATCGTAAACTTCATGAGAAGAGAAGATCGTGAGTCTTGCATATTGTAATCTTCGGAACCTGTCCACTTTACAGGAATGGTTCTGTGTTCTTGAGCACCTGGGCTCATCATGGGGATTGCCCTAGAGCGTACTGCTTTGCAGTGTGATGGGCAGGGTTGGTTCAACGCGAAAGCGGTGTCAGTAATGCTCAGGTTTCTTATGCGGAGTCGGACTGGAACCGGCCGTCCGATAAGAAAGGTGTGCGCATGAAGCATGTCCTGCATGTCAGAGGTCGCTGGTACAATTGCGCATCTGGAAAAGATTGCTTGTAATCCAGCAATCAGTGAGAGGATGAGAGTGAGGGCAAAACTTGGAATGCCATCATGTCCCCATCCACTTCCAGAGCAAACGCATTAACTGTTTCTGGTGGATTGGTTTCCCAATATGATCGCTCATTCCCTGCTTCGTATAATCCTCTATATCTCCCGGCATGACGTTCCCCGTAAGCGCAATGATAGGCATCTCTAGTCCCATTTGCCGGATCTGTCGTGTCGCCTGTACGCCATCCAGCACCGGCATGCCGATGTCCATAAGAATTGTATTGTAGGATAAAGGCTGCTGCTTCACCAGTCGAACCGCCTCTGCCCCATCCCATGCAGTATCAATCCGCGCGAAGCCCATGTTCTGGAGAAGCTTGAGCATCATCATCTGGTTAACCAGGTTGTCCTCAACTAGGAGAACGTGTTTGTGAGGAGCGATGTCGTGGATATTTCGTTCAATGTCACCGACGTCTTCAACGGGTGTCCCTGTCCCAGTCGTTCTAGCGGGCGGCGTCACACGCACCCGATGCATCTTGGCTGTGACCCAGAAGACACTGCCATGTCTCTCAGGATTAGGTCGGTATCCGACACTCCCGTCCATGAGTTCGGCCAAGCTTTTGCAGATCGATAAGCCAAGACCCGTGCCTTGGTATCTCTTCGAACCAGTCTCGGCGAACCGTGTGAACGGTGTGAACAATGAGCCAAGAGCATCTTCGGGAACGCCAACTCCCGTGTCGGCAACCTCGGTCCGGATGTAATATACACTAGGATCCTCCGCATCTTCCGAGAAGGTGGTGTTGATCTTGACGTAGCCCTCCTCGGTGAACTTGACTGCATTGCCGACAAGATTCTGAAGGACCTGACGGTACCGCAACGGATCACCCTCGACCTGGGATGGGAAGTTGGATGAGATAGAGCTAGTCAGTTGGACACCGGTTTTCAGAGCGCCCTTGCAGTTGCGCACGACCGCGTTGGTAATACTGTCGACACTGAAAGTATCAGGATGCAGAGTAAAAGACCCGGATGACAATTTAGAATAGTCGAGGACGTCATTGATGACTTGGAGCAAAACATTGGTCGAATCTTCGATGATAGAGGAGTATTCGCGCTGCTGTTCGTTCAAGTCCGTGGCCAGCAGTGATGTAAGGGCTAAGAGCATGCCGTTCATTGGCGTGCGAATCTCATGGCTCATGTTGGCCAAGAAGTCTGTCTTCAATCTCGATGATTCTTCAAAGGCTGCGATCATGCGGGTTTCGGCAGCATTGCGTTCCGTTAAATCGCGAGTGACCTTGGTGAAGCCAATATGGCGACCCAGGGCGTACATGGGAGTGATCAGCACGTTGGCCCAGAACCGCGAACCGTCCTTGCGGTACCGCCAGCCTTCGTCCTCCACTTTGCCCTCCCGGAGACATACCTCCAATTCTTTGCCGGGCTTATCCGCCATGCGATCTTCTAGGCTATAGAAGGTGGAAAAGTGACGTCCGATGATCTCCTTGGCCGAGTACCCTTTCAGCAGGGCTGCGCCCGTGTTCCAAGTTACAATATGACCATGTGTGTCGAGCATGAAGATGGCATAGTCCTTGACCGTGTCCAGTAGGACTTTGTAAGTCTCATTGGAGTAAGACTCGTGGGGCTTGGACACCGATGTAGCCTGACGCTTGGTGATATCAAGTGCCTCCAGGACAATGTATAACAGGTTAGAGTTTTCAAAGATGGGGGTGATGCGAAGAGTATAGCAAGTGCTAGCGTCATCTATACAGATTTTGTCAATCGACTGGACGTCCTGCGTCGTGATGGCGGCGCGCAATGCGCCAAAAAGGATAGCAACATCTAGAGCCGGCAGGATGCGTGGACAGATGTCACAGATGAACCGGCCAAGCAACAGCGCCCTTGACAGCCCGGCAAATGCCACGTGGGAATCCGATACCTCCACGACATGTAACGAAGGATCAAGAATGACGCTGGGAGTGGGGGTATAGCGATATATTCGACCTAGAGCCGCTGGAGGTTGCTGCGCATCGGTATCGGGCATCTTCTTTTGACGGTGATGCGGCTTGTCATGATCGTGAGATTGTTTCGACTCGACCTTGAGCTTTAGATGATTCACCTCGTCATCATCCTCATCATCCGGTGGTGTGGTTACCATAGAGAAGTTGAGAGGTTGCGCTTGGGTCTTATTCTCGATATCGAGATGGAACAGGCGTTTGTTGAGATCCATGGCCCCCACATTTGGCAATAAGAATCGTTGCCTCACGCGATCTTTAGATGGCGGGGACAGGGATCTTGCAACATCAGAGCCGGTCCGGCGGGAATAGGGCATGGAGTTTTTTAGAAAGGAAATAGAGGGGAGAGGAGGAGAAGAAGGGGGGGAGGAAGGTAGAGAGAGAAAGGATGTAAGGGAAATATTAAGGAAGAGTGATGATGATATCCGGAAGGGGTAAAGGTAAAGGTGTAAAGGGACGGATAGAAAGAGAATGGAATAGACGTTGACAATACTGGGATGGGATGGGATGGGATGGGATGGGGTATGGTTTTTTGGTGGCTTTTTGGTGTGAGAGGAAGGCAGAGAGGATGCGGTGGTGGTTTTACTTACTCTTAGTTACTTACTGTATGGATGATGGTGTCAGATGGGCAATGAGGCCCACCGGGATGGGACGAGGCGCACCATCGACGTCAACAGGGAGGGAGCAGAGGATGGGATGGACCAACCAGTGGACGGAAGGTTGGGCCGGTTGTCGCGGGGGAAAGGCAACTTGGGCTCTCACTGGCCACCGCGATCAGCCGCCAGCCCGTGGATCCTTTTAGCAGCAGCAAAAAGAGGAGCCAGCAATGATGAAGATGAATGGGAGAGGCTGACTTGAAACTGTAAATCAGAATAGAGAAATCAAAAACAAGCTGGGAAAATGCCTGCCGTCTTGTCTCCTCCCCTTGTGCCTTTCCCGGGGGATGCGCCTCAATTCTCCTCCGTACTCCTCCTTTTTGGTCTCCATCCGCGTTGGGTTTGAATACGCCCTCCGCCATCTTCGGTAGAGAGACACACAGAAAGAGAGACAATCAAGTCCAGAAGGTTTAAACAGGAAGAAAAATTCTGCACTCGTTCAGATTCCGGTTTCAGGGTCTGGAATGCCTGGGTCTTTGACCAAGGCAGCGCCCGCTCTTAGCTCTTTTTTTTATTTTATTTTATTTTTATTTTATTCTATTTTTTTCCCCACTAGGCGCTCCCATTGTTGGTGTACTTTTGTTTCTCTTTTTCTGATTTTCTTTTTGGTGCTGACCTCATACCATCTGCCGGAGTTTGATTATGGAGATGGCAGATGTTTTGGGAAGCGGGAAGGAACCTGCGAGAATCTCAGTCCGCAGCAGACCGCTAGACTAAACTACTTTGTACATACGACTAGTCCAAGACTTCCGGCTGGAAACATATTTCCCTTGCAGTGTGTGGCGTCTGGCAAATAAAGATAGGAAAAAAAGAGAGTACATAGTCATGTCATCGGTCGGAAGATTGGAATAATTACTTTGTCTGTATCTTCTGGAGAAGTCTTGGTGGATAAACGTCTTAGTTACCTATCTATGGATACCCTAGTCGGCAAAGAATCGTGCAGAACTTTCATAATAGAAGAGCTTATGAAATAAGCAATCTCTTCCAATCGCACTAGTCCAGTGATCATGCAACCCAGTCGGCGCCTTTTTTTAATCTATCCCACACTCGCCTACACTCCCCTGCCTTGGGTTCAGGTTCAGTGTGGCTGCTGCACCGTATCGGGATCAGCGACCGGGAAGATCCGCTGATAGAAAAGTAGAAGAAAAAAAAAGGGCAGAAAAGTACCTACTTACAAAGTAGTTTGCCTGGCAAGAATACAGAGGTCGATGCATGCATACATGCATGCATGCATGGCACACACACACACAGGACGTGGAATTATGTCCGGAGGTTGACCTCCAATCCTGGATAGGTCGCCATAGCAGGTTTCATCAGGCTTATCGTCCCCTAGCCTGGATATTGTTCCAAGGGATTGGTAGAACTTGCAATCCCCGGCCAAATCCCGCTGACATTATAGTATGGTACGTTGTAACTAGTAACTTAGTTATGCTATTATTGTCCTACCCTGGCGACGAATGCTTTGTGGATTGTAATCCGGAGGTGACACATGACCGACCCGGTTCTCCCTCCATCTGGATCTTCGATCGGGCTTCATGAGCTCAACAACGCACACTAACCAACATTAATAGTTGGATGTCATCATGTGTACATTGCATTGTAGGCAGTTGCCAAATTGTCAAAGTACCCTGATGTCATTCTATTCTTATAAACCTTCGGTATCTGTCAGAAATCTCCCATTGCGCCCGGTGGCAACAACATAGCAGTAAGAAACCGAAACCTCCGAAGGTATTATTTCTATACAGTACGTACACAGTACATGACTACCGGATGGCTACTGCCTGGAATCCAGACTCCACAAAATGTTCACTTAGACCATTCGAAAAGTCGTCCGGAACCGTCAATTTCCAGGAAATGGGAGCACGTTAGCACCGACTGCTCCAGTTGAAGGGAGGGTGAACAGTGTCAGTGTCAGTGTCGCATGGACGAACCTCGGACCGAGAGACATCCGTCTAAAGAAAGGCCTTCGGTTTTCCGGTTTGCCCAGTCTTGACTACTCGACATTGCACACGAGAGTAGTTTAAGGTAGTACAGTGCCACGACCAGACAGACATTGAGTTTGTCGTGTCTTGCATGAGACAAGCGCTTTATATATGCCTAATTATTGCCGATTCTCAACTGTAGCCGATGGTGGCGCAGAAATCAGCCAGGACCACCAGGTGCACATCCACAATGATGAACAAATCTGACAATGGCGTTCATGCAAGCTCCATGGCCATCACACCGGATCATTCCCTATCCTAGAGTAGAATAGAGATAAAGTATGAGCGGCCATCTGTCCCATCTCATAGGACCCAAGATTCGGGTGGCACTGGATAACCGCAATAGTTGGTGGAGAGGGAGTGGAGCCGGGGTGGCCGAATTCTTTGTGATTGTGCGATTGCCATCCTGGACGCCTGGAACCAGCCATGATGGGCTTCGAGGCACCAAACAGACTTTTTCCCCTTTCTTTTTTGGCGGCGCGAGGGTACGTCAGTGCCTAGTGGGAAAGCCTGTCCTCTCACCATCCCCTCGCTCGCCCCAGAAGAACTCCAGCAGGGGAGTTTATCCCAACTTCATCCTCATCTTCTTTAGCCTCTTAGCTTCAAGGCGTCCTAAATACCCAGGAGAACCATCTAAACCGCTTTATCTCCAGAATTACCATTTCAGGCAAGCTAAGGTGCCTGTTAGTGTCGGCCCAGGCCGATGACAAGCTTGGTGGTCGTTGGTTGATTGCAGCGGCGCACTCCACCGTCTTCGCGGCCGATGCTCTCCGGACCAGCCAGAGCCCCTATCTGCTGATTATCCAACGCATCATCCGAGCCGGTCTCGCCGGGGTGCTGTTCCATCCCAGCTTCTAGACGCTTAGCTTGTCTCTCCCACCACTGCAGCTTGATTAATTCGGGCTTCTTCTACTGAGGAGAAGGAGGGGATGATGGGGCTGCAGGACACGATGACCGATGAGAAGAAGTCATCGACGATCCAGGTGGGCTAGACCCATATTTCCTTGTCGTTCTACATACTATACATTGTCTACTATCTACATCTTCACTCTTGATCCTTGATCGCAACTGGTTTCATTTCAAATTGGCCCGACTGCTTGTCATCTTTCCCCGGAATCCCCTCACGTGGGCGCCTCCCCCCCAATCTATATCGTCCAATTCACCACCCCCCCACCTGCATCGTGCATTTACTTTTACGTGAGACATCAACAGATCTGACACATCCACCATCTACCGTTATTGGTTCTCATCTCTCTCCCGGAAATTGAAATGCTGACGATCGTCTTCGTGCCTTGTCTAGGAGCCGTCGTTGAATGGGATTAGCGATGCCTCCAGCATCCTTAGCGACTCTCGCGCTCAGGACATTCTCCCCTATGAAGCTGACGATTCTCCTTTTCCCGAAGTGCGCGCGGTCGTCAAGCCGGTTGACGACCGGCAGCTGCCGGTTAATACCGTTCGCATGTGGGTGATTGGTATGGTCTTTACAATTGTATGTTGTCTCCCTCCGACCGCGATGCTGCAAACCATCGAAAGAGGAAATCGCTTATTGTTCCTAGGTCGGAAGTGGCTTGAACCAATTCTTTAGTCTGAGACAACCCAGTGTGACTATCAGTGCTCTCGTCGCTCAGCTCCTAGCATTTCCGGTCGGATGTGCGTGGGCGCAATGGGTGCCCTTGGGCTGGTTCAACCCGGACCACCATTTCAACATCAAAGAGCACACTCTGATCACAATTATGTCCAATGTCTCTTTCGGGTCGGCAGCTGCCACTCAAGTGATCGAAGCTATGGTTAAGTTTTACGATATGCCTTCCCATGGAGGCTTTGAGATCTTGTTGATGATCACTACGCAACTATTTGGGTTTGGTCTGGCGGGGATGGCCGCACGCTGGCTCGTGGGTCCGGCCACTATGATCTGGCCGCAAGTGCTGTCGAACGCTGCTTTGCTTTCGACCCTGCACTCGCGCCAAAATCTGATGGCAGATGGCTGGGTAATCAGCAGGCTTCGGTTCTTTATGATTGTATTTGTCGCTGGGGCAATCTGGTATTTCGCTCCGGGCTACCTTTTCACAGCCCTAAGTACATTCAGTTTCATCTGCTGGATCGTGCCAGACAATGTGGTGGTCAACCAGCTCTTTGGCCAAAAGACAGGGCTGGGCATGTCCTTGTTGACCTTCGACTGGGCCCAAGTTGTCTACGCCAACCAAAGCCCCCTGTTAGTGCCATTTTGGGCAGGTCTCAACGTCATCGGTTCGTTTGTGCTCTTTTACTGGATCATCTGCCCGATCATCTATTATACCAACACATGGTATTCGGCCTACCTTCCTTTACTAAACCCAGATACGTTCGACAATACGGGCAAGCCGTATAATACCAGTCGCGTAATGAACGCAGACGGAACATTCAATGTGGAGGCGTACCGCAACTATTCGCCCATGTTTCTCCCGGCCGGGTATGCCATGACGTATGGCGTGGCCTTTGCGAATTTGACGGGCATCTTCGTCCATGTCGCATTGTATCACGGGAAAGATCTGGTTGAGCAATGGAAGGGTAGAAACGCGAAAGATGTTCACGCCCGGATCATGGACAGCTATGAGAGTGTGCCGTGGTGGTGGTTTGGCGGCATCACAGTCGTAATGTTTGCGCTGAGCATAGTGGCCAACGAGGTCTGGCATACGGATCTCCCGGCGTGGGCGGTCTTTCTGGCATATTTGCTGCCCATCATCTACATCATCCCCGTTGGTATCATCAAAGCTATCACCAATATTTCCAGCAACCAACTCAATTTGATTACCGAATTTATTGGTGGCTATGCTTTCCTTGGGCGGCCAGTTGCAAACATGGCGTTCAAGTTCTATGGCTATGCCGGTGTGTCGCAGGGTCTCGAGTAAGTGTCCGCCTGGTCTGCACCTGTGATGGGTAGGAGCTGATCGATGTCTAGATTTGTGGCCGACATGAAACTGGCGCACTATCTCCACATCGCGCCGCGAACGCTCTTTGTCGCGCAGGGCATGGCCACATTGGTCGGTGCCGTTGTGCAGTGCGGTGTGACTGTTTTTATGATCACTCGGATTCGCGGGGTGTGCACCCCTGAAGCCGAGGGAGGCTTTACCTGCCCCCATGGCCAGGTAACTTACTCGTCATCATTAATCTGGGGTAAGTGTCGGCCCGCCCACTAAACTTCGTGGCTTTCCGTTAAACTTTTGTCTAGGTGTTCTCGGTCCCAATCGAAACTTCAGTCCTGGCCAAATGTACGGGAATCTCCTTTGGTTCTTCCTCGTAGGACCCGTCGTCGTGTTGGTTACATGGCTACTGGGCCGACGATGGAAGAGGGTCAATTATCTTTCTTGGCCCGTTGCATTCGGTGCCATGAGCCTCGTCCCTCCTGCAACGGGAATTAACTTTTCGTCCTGGTGGTTGGTCAATGTGATTTTCAATGGGGTCATCAAACGGCGCAAGCCCGCCTGGTGGTCGAAATATAGTAGGTTGTCCTTGATCAGTCTTACTCGCGGCCAGTTGCTAATGGAGACGCTGTAGACTATGTGCTTTCTGCCGCACTCGACTCCGGGGTCGCCGTGTCAACCGTCATCATCTTCTTCTGCATTATATTACCAGCCGGACCATTGAAGTGGTGGGGCAACACAGTGTATCGGAATACAGCTGATGCACACGGTGTGCCATATAACCGACTTCCAGAGTCGGGGTATTTTGGACCTGCAAAAGGGACCTGGCAATAACGCACAGGGGCTTGGGGTGTTTTGGTTGATTTCAATAATGAGATAATTTCGGTCGGTATATAGTATGTCATATATGAATCTATAATTAATGTATAGTCTTCTTTTTAAATCGCTTTCGTGATAGTAAAAAATAGTGTGCGAGTTTCTCAGCGTAGGAACTGTAGATAGGTAAGGGGAGGATGGGTGAACTAGCGTTTAGCCCCGAGCCTTGGGTTGCCTCTCCCTGTCCTTCGTGTAAAGAACCATAACCAGGGAAACCTTGAGTGGAGGGAGTTAAGGTTCAGGGATCGGGGGGTTCAGGCGGCGGTGTAGATATCCTACCAAGCAAACTGTGACTGCAACTGCCCGCATTGCAGTTGGACTGTTGTGCACCCATCGGAGTTTGGAGGAAGAGAGAGAGAGCGAGATAGAGAGAGTGGCTCACTGGCAGAATTTGATCGACCATCTGAGGCTGAGGGGATCAGACTAATAAACCTTTTTTCCTTTTCCCACCCACCATCTCTCATCACCTCCCCCCAGGGAGAGAAAGCGAGAGAACCGACAGACGCTAAGACAGACAGACACTAAGACCTCCCTTGGGTGGACACGCCCCTCTCGCCCCGGCCGCTCCTAAAGACGAGCTACGGCTGCAACTCCATGGAAGTTCGCCCAGTTCTTCCCATCAATTAATCCATCCATCCTCCTCCGACCACTTCCCCCACTCAATAATTCCTCCCCCCGGTATGGCCTGCGGTTCGAGCCGCCTTCCCTGGCCTCTTTCTCCGTCCCTTCCACCACCATGACCAACCGTGACCCCGAATTTCGGCATCAGCTGGGCAAATTCCGACTCGATCCCCTACCGATTCCCTCTCATCCTGCATCTCTGCCTCCTCCGCCGCGTCCTGCTCACCCCAGTTCCGTCCCTTCTCCGCAGTCGCTGCCGCCGCCCTCCGTGCCGCTTCAGCAGCAACAGCCACTCCCAACAGCACCACCGTCGCTCCAACAGTCTCAGCAGCAGCCTCAACCACCCCCTGCCTCATCGCGATCCTCCCCATCACATACCCCTCACCCTCGCAGTAAACGAGTATCCACAGCGTGCGATTTCTGTCGGAAACGGAAAAAGAAATGTGACTTTCGATACCCCAACTGCTCCGCGTGTACTCGCGCCGGTGTCCGCTGTACCATCCCTCCGCCGGGTCCCCAGGTCGCCGCGGCGTCTGTTCCTCGCGATCAGTTAGAAAATCTACAAAACCGGGTGAAATGGCTGGAGGATCTTTTGCGCCGCAAGACAGGCATCTCTGTTGGCGACCGGCCCACGGGGACTGCGCTGGATGGCGAGGGCGATCCGGACTGGTGGTACCAGGTCCCAGCCTTGCTGATGACTCGCGGGAGTTCAACACATTCAACCCCCACGACGACTGCAACCGCGCTGTCCAGCAGCCCTGCTCCTAGTTCCACCGCGGTAGGTACCGAGCTGCCTAACGTAGGCGAATTGTTTCGCGACCAGTTGGAGCATCGACGACCCTCCATCGCGCGTCCGGTAGCATCCGCTCCGCGCGTGATCCGGCTCGCCTCGCTGCCAGAGGCGAAATCAGTGGCATTGCGATACTTTGATAGTTTGGGGTACCAATATCCTTTTCTCCATCGCGAGGAGTTCATGGCCCATCTCGATCGCATCTATGCGGGAGAGGTCCCCGCACCGGAGGTTCATCACTCGTATCACATCACCATCGCCACGGCCTTGTTGATCGGATCTGCCGACGAGTCACAGGCCGCCGAGTTCTATCATGTTAGCAATGAGACAATGACCTTGGCTTTGCAGAATGAAGATCTGGCTGCTGTTCGAGCCCTTTTGAGCGTCGCTGTGTATACAATGTTTGCGACCACGGGCCCCAGCGTATGGCACATCCTCGGGACTACTTTGCGTCTCGCCACCAGTCTCGGTCTGCATAAAGCCCGTCCAACGGGGAACGTGATAGAAGAGGAGATGGCCAAGCGGGCGTTCTGGAGTCTCTACAACCTCGATCGACTGATCGCAAGCACTCTTGGAAGGCCACTTGGAATTGCAGACGAGGATATTTCAATAGGCTTGCCGCGGGAATTCAATGACAACTGGACAGAGACACCCGGAGCTAGTGCCATGACCATTCCATTGCAGGTGGTGCGCCTGCGCCGGATATTCTCGCGCATCTACCGCTACTGTAAGTCTCTTCTAATTTGTCACCGGTGCTCACTGAGGTCTAGTCCCACTGACCGTGACAGTATTCAACAACCAACCGCCACCTCCTCCAACAGAGGTTGCCATCACGCTCAGTCATTTTCGCCAGGAACTAGACGACTGGCGACAGGAAGCACCGGTGTATGCGCCCGCGCTTCTGTATTCGACTAGCTACTACGACTATCTATACGCAACGACACTGCTCCTCATGTACCGGCCTAGTCCGCGTAATCCGACGCCTGATGCAACGAGCATCGTGAGCTGTGGCAATGCCAGCATTCAGGTCATTCGGTCCTACTGGGACAGCTATTCGCAGGGCAAGCTCAAGTGGATCTGGTTGACCCTCAGCCAGGTTTACTTTGCCGGCATCACAATCCTGTGGTGTCTTAACCATAATCTCCAGTCTGTCCGTGAAGGCCGTGGTGCTGCGTGGAAGCCCGAGGATCAGAGCATGCGACGGGCCATCCAGGCAGTAGTTGTTCTGCTGGAGGAATTTGGCAAGAGACGTCCGGGAGTGGACCGACTGGCGGAGACGTTCCGGAACCAGAGCACGATGATCTTCAGCCATCTGGCATACCAGCAGGAGCAGGAGCAGCAGCAGCAGCAGCTTCAGCAGCAACAACAACAACAACAACAGCCACAACCACTCCCGCCTCCACCGCAGCCACAGCCACCAATACCACACCATCAAACGCTCTTGGAACAGCAGCCGCAGCAACAACCACAACAGCAGCAGCAGCAACAGCAGCAGCAACACATTTTGGTAGCACCGCCGGTGCCCCTAGCGCCGGTGCTGGATGACGTTCTCCTGGTCAATGGATCGGGGAACGTGCCCATGATTGATCCACAACTGGCGGAGCAATTATTCTATTCCTATGACTGGTTTCAGGAGGAGATGGCGACATACTATACCCTTTAATTGGATTATATTAGAACAAGTTTGGAATAATCCTCTGTCTTTTGAGCTTACGGCTGTTGTGTAGTAATTCTGGAAGAGGCGCCTTGCTACCCCGCTGTAGATAAAACCCCCAACAACGCTTATCTTCTGTCAACCCCTCCACAACATCATTATCATTCATCAATCCTCCCAACTATCACTGCAACCACTCCCATCATGGCTTCTGAACCATCCAAAGCTCAAGCCTTCCATGGCACTTTCATTCACACCCTGAGCTCCAAGCAACTTGAGATCCTCACCGAGACTTTCATCCTCCTCTCACCCACTGGAACCATCCAAGCCATCCGCCCATCAACTCCTGCGGCTTCTATCCCAAATCTCCTTGCGGAATACCATTACTCTGCATCCACCTGCACGGTGACCATTCTACAACCTACTGAGTTCTTCATCCCCGGCTTCATTGACACGCACACTCATGCGCCCCAATGGGCCCAGCGCGGCACGGGGCGGGGAATCGACCTACTTACCTGGCTGGAGACCATCACCTTCCGCCACGAAGCCAGACTCGCCGATCTGGAGTACGCCAAGTCGCTATATACTTCCTGTGTCCGCGGCGGGCTCAAACAAGGAATGACTACCGCCTGCTATTACGGTTCCCGTCATGCACCGGCATCGGTCATCCTCGCCGAAACCTGCCTCAGCCTAGGCCAGCGCGCGCTGATCGGAAAGTGCAATATGACTCGTCACGCCCCGGACTGGTATCGAGACGCATCGGTGGAAGAGTCCCTCCGCGAAACGGAAGACTTCATTGCTCGGGTTCGGGAACTTGATCCAACACATGGACTAGTGACCCCGGTGATTACACCGCGGTTCGCGATATGCTGTGAGGAAGAACTACTGGCTGGGCTTGGGACTGTCGCAGCCCGGAATCGCGACTTGCCCATCCAAACCCATTTCAATGAGTCGCAGGGAGAGGTGAATTTCACCAGGCAACTGTTCCCTGATGATAAGAGTGAAACGGAACTCTATGAGCGGCTTGGACTCCTAAATGACCGGAGCATTCTTGCTCACTCGATCTACCTTTCGGATGCGGAGATTGAACGTATGGCGGAGCTGCAGTGTGGGATCGCTCACTGCCCTATTCCCAATGTCACAATGGATGAGTTCATGGTTGCGCCCGTGCGGGAGTATCTCCGTCGGGATATTAAAGTCGGACTAGGTACCGACTGTGGGGGAGGCTATTCAAGCTCCATGCTTGAAGTGATGAAGGCTGCCTTTGTGGTGTCGACGGCACGGTGCACGATGACGCAAGGACAAGATCAGCCTTTGAGTCTTACGGAGGGGTTTTATATGGCTACTTTGGGCGGAGCGCGGGTATGCCAACTGCAGGAAAAAGTCGGGAATTTCATGGTGGGCAAGGAGTTCGATGCACTGCTTATTCGGACACAGGAGGAGGGCGTAATGGCGCCAGTAGTGGAGGAAGACGGAGTGCCGACGGTGTTTGAAAAGTTCTTGATGACGGGGGATGACCGCAATATTGGACGAGTGTTTGTGAAGGGACGGGAGGTGCATACTGCGCGTTGAAATGATTGCCATGTATTTGACTGCTATATTTATCGATATCTGGAAAGGCATTGCGCGTACAATCTCATTGTGAATGGTTCGTTCCTTATAAACGAGTAGAGAGATTCGGGTGGAGACGGGGATGATCCACACCTCAGGCACCGGTAAGGCTGAGCCCGTTTCCGGTTTTGTTTCACAGCCTCGTCCACTGCTTTTCCCTCTCCACTTGGACTGAGTGTCTGCTCTGCCTCCCTCCTCTGCTTTTCCCCCTCCGTGGCAGGGGTCTTTTTTAAAAGTCTCAGCCCCCAGTCCTCCTCCCTCAGGATCCTGCCCTCTCTCGTTTACCCATCTTTGTCCTTGAGGGAGTCCTCTTATTGTTATTCCCTTTCTCTATGAACTCCTAATTATCCCTAATTCTAGTCCCTCACGATCGCCGTTACTTGAAACACCTTGATAACGGGTTTCCTATCAACGGCCATACATTCGCTTTACCCTTCATTTTCTCACCCACGAAATCCTAGAACTAATCACACCATGGCCGAAGAACCTCAGGTCATGTCAATCCAGCAACGGATTGCGGCACTTAAACAAGCGCAAGTTGGTCAAAGCTCAGGAACCGATACCAGCGAGCCTGCCCTTGTCCAGCCCACTCTTTTGCCCATCCGTCCGGCTGCTCCCCCGCGACCCAAAACCTTCACCACCAACGACGCCAACGACAGTTATAACAGCCATGCTGCTGGCAGCTATGGCTCCGTCTACAATCGTTCGTCCGCCTCAAATGACGCGGTCCCTCCTAGACCTGTCCCTCGTCCCGCTACTGCACCAGCACCGCCCCCGGTAAAACACAAAACGCCCCCTCCTTTGCCTGCTCGCAAGCCCTCCGATCAACAGCGCCCAGCACTACCACCGCGCAGACCGACTCAACCCTCTCATAAAGGCTCCTTAGAGTCCATGGCCTCAGATATATCTAGATCGACCACTACAAGTACCGGAAGGACATCGGCTAGCTCCATTAATACAGGCCCTGGCCGCTCCCTGCCACCCGCTTGGGGCGAGGCTGAGTTGCCTCCATTGCCCCCAAAGCGCCAGCCACAACCACCACCGCGACCGACGCCCACGACTATGAGGAGTAGCAGTAGCAGCAGCAGGCTATCTCCACCTCGTCCGTCTTTGCCCTTGCGGCGGAAATCCAGCCAGAGCAACTACTCCATGGAAAGCAATGATTCGCAGGCTTCCCGGCTGCCTCCCCCACTACCGTCTAGAAGCACCAGCGACAGGTCGTCGACTATCAACGAAGAGGAAGAAAAGAACCCACCACTACCAGCTCGGAGGCTGCCCCCACCCCCGCCGTCTAATGATACGCTGGGTAAGCTCAAACAATCCGGCTTTGCGGCGATCAACAAATCCTTTGGCAGTGCCAATGGAGCTGCCAATGAGCACAACTCCAATGGTGTGCCCCCACCTGTCCCGCTGGCGTCGCGTCCGGATCTCTCCAAAATCCAAGCTACGAAGCCTCGTCTGTATGCGTCCAATGTGCCCACGATTCCCACACCTGTTGCGTGCTTGAAATGCCGCGACTTCTCTGCCGCCGATGCCCATGCAGCCCGATATCCGCGCACGTCTCTCCCAACACATGACCTGTCCTGGCTGGCGAATGAACTCACGGCACCGTTTCCGTCGCTCACGGACAAAGCTCGTGTCATCTTTACATGGCTCCACCACAATGTCGCGTATGACACAGAGGCTTTTTACAATAATCGGGTAAAGAAGCAAACTCCGGCCAATACACTCGCGACGGGTATGGGTGTGTGTGAAGGGTATGCTGGGTTATTCACTGCGCTTGCTACACATGCAGGTCTGGAGGCGAAGACGGTCCATGGCCACGGTAAAGGCTATGGTTATGTGGCACCTGCTCCCGGCTCTTCATTACCTCCTGTTCAAGGTGGCCATGCTTGGAATGTGGTTAGGATTGATAACGGGCAGTGGAAGCTGATTGACCCCTGCTGGGGCGCTGGGTGCGTCCATGGCCCAGGAAAACCTTACCAGGCGCAGTTCGACCCGACCATGTTCACGGACACCAATGACGAGCTGGGGCTGAAGCACTTTCCGCAAGACCGAACGCAGTTCTACCGGGATGATGGACGTCCCGAGATCAGCTGGGAGGAGTACCTTTTGGGCAATCCCTCTTCGCCGCTGTGCGTTGAGCAGCCATTGGTGTTTGGGGAGGCGAAGAAGAACCACATTGGAGTGCGATCCTTCCGCCCGGCTGCCAAGCAGATCTCGGTGCATCAGGGAGGGCCGGTGCGTTTCCAGTTCAGTCTGATCTGCGAGCACTGGACGCTGGAGCATCACACGCGGGCTAAGCCTGGACTGTTTCTGCTGATTGTGAACGGAGTGGATGGGCAGAAGGAGGAACGCCTTGTAATCACCCACGTGCCGGGATCCAACCCGAACGGCGGGGGAGACGTGTGGTACGTGGACGTGCCGGACTCCAGGATGCTGGGGGCGCCGGGCCAGCAAGCGCTGATAGTGGTGCTGAGCCGGTTCGGGGATCGAAAGGACGTCCGGGGGTTGACAGCAGAGGAATACCGGGCGCGAGCCGGTAAGGTGCCGATGGAGTATGTCTTCATTGCACAGTGGGATCTCGTGTAAGGCGCGGCAAAGGGGGTCGGCATGGGCAGCCGGGTAATTAGGGTTGGCTGCCCTGCATGGTTTGAGTATTTAGTGGACTAGTGTTTCTCCTTTTGTGTCTCTGTGGCTTTTTTGGCTTTTTCTTCCCCTCTTCTCCCGGCTTGGAGAGGCTTGTCTCACCCCCGACAGCGGACATCATGGTTTGTTCCGAGATTTCCCGTAATGATAATGACCTTGGTCGTATATATATACACATATACCGCACATGAAGATGCAATCTGGGACCAACCAGTCTTTTGGTGATTTAACTATGACTCCCGTCAGTTGGTACAGCGGGGACAACTGAGTAGTAGTTGAAATATGCGGGCGGAGAAAATCCACGAATCAGCCCAAGGGATCATGAGTGGATGAGAAAATTTCGAACGTTAGTAACAAACGGTGCTGGAAACGAGCACGTTAGAAAGTCCTTGGCGAAGGCTAAAAGGAGGGTACTTCGTCGGCTAAATTCCCAGGCCCATCTCATGGCCTGGTTGACCAGGAGTATTACTAGTAGGTAGCTATTTCCTAGTATCATGTTGGGGGGACTGGGGACCCCGGGATTATTGCATGAGGGATTTAATTACGAGGCCATTCAGGAAGCAGATGGAAGAGAACATGATAGAATGTCTCGATAACATCATACCTGGCAGGGGATGAAATTTTCTGGCAACCGGACTGGAGGTAATTTTAATGATTGGGGTTATTATACGGGGGCCCGGGGTGTTTCCATTATCCAAAGCAAATCGATGTTTTCCTGTTCCTGTCTGATTCTGACTGGCGATTATTGGCTGACTATCATAACCTCCCCACCCATACTAGCCAGTCTGGGGATAGTGTATTACGGCCAAGACCCTGAAAGTCGAGATTTAAGCCTAATTAGGCTCTGGGCCGGGCGCGAGCCTGACTGCCTGAGAGTCATGTGCTCTGGGGAAGTCGGTCGGTGTCGGTGTCTCTCCGCAATCTCGAGTCCCCCCGTTCTCTTCTCCTTCCCCCCCGAACTGGATCTCTTTTGCGCCTACCTTCACCGAACCGTTCTCCTAGATCGGTTCATATTAGTTAGATAATGCTTCTGCACTGAGTCAGTTATAGTTACACTGCTACTGCACAGTCCCCGCTGGCATTGCGTTGCTGGCCTGCAGGAATCTCCCAATCTACTCCGGACTGTATCCCGCCTTGGCCGGGAAAGGGAACGACAATGCCGATCCACCCAATCCCCGGAATCCTCCACCTCCACCCTCTCTGCCTCCACGCTTACGCTGGATCGCGGCCTCCGACTCTCGGCTGACCCGTCTTCGGTCTTCAGCCTTCAGGGTTGCCTGCCTTGCTGTCCGATGGCTTTTCCTGAACGTGCTGGCCGGCTTGGACCGCCTCCCACGCTTGCAGCCACCTACCCGACTACGGTCACATTCGGTCATCCCGATGGAGACATACCGCGGAAGTCGAGATATCATTTGTTGTGCATCAATCAGGTCGGGTGGATTCTGGATCATTCTCTCGCCCCCTCCCCATCTGCCTCCTAATGGCTCGTTTCATGACCACTCGACCCTCCAGACCATGTGCTTGCCCCGGTTTTTTTTTCCCATGCGACAGATGGGCTCACGGCCAGCCGACTGACCCATGGGCAACGCCCCCCATGTCAGCTCCTGGTGGACCGCCTTTTGCTGCATGCATCCAATCGCTAGTTCAGCTGAACCTTGACCTAACCGGATATGCCTGTCTCTCCGCTAGTCAGAGGCCGGTCTAATCTCGCCTGGCATGGGTCTTCTTTGCTTGCCGTGCGACTCGGGTCGGAATTGTCCCTCTACCACCCTTTAGGTTTGACAATTCAACCGGCCATCATGGCAGTTTTCTGCGTCGACCCCGCGGCCTCTGCTCCTGTCTCACTGTGGTCCATTTCATCTGGTGCCACCCGTTCCCGGGTTTCGCTTTCCTTAAATCCCCCGTCTTTTCCCCGGCTTCTCCTGCGTTCTTCTCTTGCTCTCTCCGGTGGTTCCCCGAGGTTTCTTTTTTCTTTCCCCCAGAATCTCCTGCCGTGAGCGGAACCAGCTGGCATCATGGCTATCGGCAATCTTTATTTCATTGCGGCCATCGCCGTCGTCGGCGGTGGTCTGTTCGGTTTCGATATCTCGTCGATGTCGGCCATCATCGAGACCGATGCCTATCTCTGTTACTTCAACCAGGCTCCTGTCACTTACGATGATGATGGCAAGACGGTCTGTCAGGGCCCCAGCGCGAGTGTGCAGGGTGGTATCACCGCCTCCATGGCTGGTGGTTCCTGGTTGGGCTCGTTGATCTCGGGTTTCATCTCGGACAGGCTTGGTCGTCGTACTGCCATTCAGATCGGTTCCATCATCTGGTATGTATCTGACACCGCTGCACCGTTATCTCTGCTAACAGTGCATGGCTGTACAGGTGCATTGGATCCATCATTGTCTGTGCCTCCCAGAACATTCCCATGCTGATCGTCGGTCGTATCATCAACGGTCTGAGTGTGGGTATCTGCTCCGCTCAGGTGCCAGTGTATATTTCGGAGATTGTATGTCGGTCCCATAATGCCTGCTGCTGCATGCGGTGCTAATCATTTAGGCTCCTCCAACCAAGCGTGGTCGTGTCGTCGGTCTGCAACAATGGGCTATTACCTGGGGTATCCTGATCATGTTCTAGTAAGTCCTTATCCATCATCAGCTACCATGTCATATCTCACACGTGATGTAGCGTCTCCTATGGCTGCAGCTTCATCAAGGGTACGGCGGCCTTCCGGATTCCCTGGGGTCTGCAGATGATCCCTGCCGTGCTATTGTTCCTGGGTATGATGCTCCTGCCTGAGTCACCCCGCTGGCTGGCACGCAAGGACCGATGGGAGGAGTGCCACGCTGTTTTGACCCTCGTCCACGGTCAGGGAGACCCGAGCTCTCCCTTTGTGCAGCGTGAATATGAAGAGATCAAGAGCATGTGCGAGTTTGAGCGTCAAAACGCGGATGTCTCCTACCTCGAGCTGTTCAAGCCCAACATGCTTAACCGTACCCATGTGGGTGTTTTCGTTCAGATCTGGTCTCAGCTGACTGGAATGAACGTCATGAGTAAGTTTCTTTCGAGGCTGTGTAGGTAGTCAGCAATACTAACCGGTTCACTTCTAGTGTACTACATCACCTACGTCTTTGCCATGGCCGGCTTGAAAGGTAACAACAACTTGATCTCCTCCAGTATCCAGTACGTGATCAACGTGTGCATGACCGTGCCGGCTCTGGTGTGGGGTGATCAGTGGGGCCGTCGCCCGACCTTCTTGATCGGTTCCCTCTTCATGATGATCTGGATGTACATCAATGCTGGTCTGATGGCCAGCTACGGCCATCCCGCGCCGCCCGGCGGTCTCAACAACGTGGAAGCCGAGTCCTGGGTCATCCACGGCGCGCCCAGCAAGGCTGTCATTGCCAGTACCTACCTCTTCGTAGCCTCATACGCCATCTCCTTCGGCCCCGCCAGCTGGGTGTACCCGCCGGAACTCTTCCCTCTGCGTGTGCGCGGCAAGGCTACCGCCCTCTGCACTTCAGCCAACTGGGCCTTCAACTTCGCCCTCAGCTACTTCGTCCCCCCGGCATTTGTCAACATCCAGTGGAAGGTCTACATCCTCTTCGGTGTCTTCTGTACTGCCATGTTCTTGCACATTTTCTTCTTCTTCCCCGAGACCACGGGTAAGACCCTGGAAGAGGTCGAGGCCATCTTCACTGATCCCAATGGTATTCCGTACATCGGTACTCCCGCCTGGAAGACAAAGAACGAGTACTCGCGCGGTGCACACATTGAGGAGGTTGGCTTTGAAGATGAGAAGAAGGTTGCTGGTGGGCAGACTATCCACCAGGAGGTCACGGCTACTCCGGATAAGATTGCTTGAGGTGGATGATTAGTGATCGGTGATGATGGAGGGGGTGGGGGGTCGGTTATAGAGTATATTTATATATATGGGAAGAGGAGCTAACTAGACATGTATCAGCTTAATGCAAGATCAATAGCATGTATATGTTTACTCAGCATACTTGTGTGAATTTTATCGACATGATGGTTTACAATCCCAACTTCATAATAGATGCTTACTATTACCCCTAGATACACAGTAGTGGGTACTATCGTCACTCTCTACAAATCAGGTGATTGGCTTCGATGCCTGGCAAGCTCAGCACCGCTAACTCCTACTTTATGCTCACCTCTTCAGCACAAGCCAGCACAATTTCCCAACTCAAACCGAAGGGACATCAGCCAATAGTTGGAGAAACGATCCACTTGTTTAGTATAACCCACTTGAGTTTTCTGATTTCAGATACGTACCTGTCGCCAGTGATGTCATCCTGTGAAAACTACCAGCCTATCCTCTGCTCCTCCCGGTGGAGAGGATCTATTGACACTATGGTTCTTGAGCAATGGCGACAAGACCCACCAGTGGAGATAAGAGGACCGAAACTATTGCTTGTTCAAGGTCTGCTTCGATAAACCCCTCATCAAGATAAACCAAGTTGGGCTTACTAGCAATGTCAATCCTTCAAAAGTCTCATCGCACAAGGACTCAAAATCCAGCAAGGCACGATCCAACATACCATGTAATGACAGGGAAAAGATTGTCACTCCTCTGGCGCTGATGCAGCATTCCGCATGGATTGTCCGACTCCGAAGACAAGCTTTGGTGTCTGGTGCTGATCGTCCGTCGTGGAGCCACCACTAGTGGATTGAATTACCCACACACCCACTACTTATACTCTTTACGCTGTCTATCATCTACGTGCTGATCAGGGGGTTATTTTCTTGCGCTATTTGGTTTCCCACTATGTTTCTGTTTTGCAGGGCTGGTCATAACAATTTGGTAGTTTGGGTTGGGTGGCTTGGTATGGTCGATGTCGGGGAGGGGTTCACCGTTGAACAATATGCTTGTCGTTAGGTAGGTTGAACTGATGCTTGTGTTTTGTTTCCAGGCGCCCTGGACAGCCTTTGGCTATCAGCAATAGCTCAATAGCTGGTGTTTTGCTCGGACGCGGGTCTTGGTCGGGTTGACCCAGTGTGATCTACGCTAGACGCTTTCCTGATTGGCGATGGATGTCACGCCTCTTATCAGGGTTTGGTGATCATATTTAGCCTACATAGGCAGGTTCCCTTCCGCTGGGTATGGAAGTGCAAACGCCAGCGTGTGGAGAGTGAAGTGATGCTAGTCAATGGGATCAGCAGCGTTCTTGTCAACTAGCATATATTCCGACGTTTCCCACCGTTCCTGATGA